TATATATATTATATATATATATATATATATATATATATATATATATATATATATATATATATATATATAATATATATATATTATCTTTAATACATGTATTAAAATACATGTAAAATCATTAAATCGTCCAAAAATTGAATTGAAAAGAAACCCATTAAATTTCCATGGTCACATGACCGTTGGAATTAAATGCCCCCTCCCACCCCAGAGTCTAGTTATGAGGGAAGTTTTCAAATAGTTCATCCCTGAGCCTCACCCTGAGGTGCTCCTTGAATTCCCCCAAATATTCACTAGAGACACAGTCAGAGTCCAGCATGTTCCACATCCTGGTGGCCAGAGTGAGACACGATCTCTGCATGATGTGGGCACTGGACAGTGTCCTGTCTGGAAAACCACAGCTGCCCCAGCGCACATGGTATGGCAGGACTCTTTGTGTGGGTCGGTATGGTCCCAGCGCAGCAGGCGAGAGTCCATGGAACAGTTTAAAACCAAAGCATGCAAGCGCAAAGTTCCGCCTTGTTTGCAAGGTTGTTAGTCCGAGCGCTCTGTAATGCTCTGCTGTCAACTGGGCACGATACGGCAGATTTAGAATTATGCGCATGCACCTTCGTTGGATGCTCTCTAAACAGTTTATGAGAGTCTTTCCTATGCCACAGATCAGCACTGAGCAGTACTCTAGTCGGGATCTAATGTATGCTTTATAGATCCGAAGCAGGACTTCATTGCTTTTTGGTGGTAGCTTTGATTTTAAGAGCCTCAATACAAACATTTCCTTCCTAGCCCCTTTACACAAGTCCTCAACATAACGCTTTAATTTCAAGTCACTGCTGATTGTTATCCCCAAATGCTTTGTCTCACTTGAGAAGGAGATGTTGTGGCCCTCAAACATGACTTGACCATCTATTTGTTTTTTGACTGGCGCTTTAGCAAAGCACAAACATACAGTCTTTGAAGGGTTGAATTTCATACCCCAGGTGTTGGCCCAACTGCTTGCAGCTGCCAAAGCACAGTTCAAACCTGCAGCCGCGAGGGCTGGATATGCACTAGTGACAGTTAGTAAAGTGTCGTCCGCATATGCAGCTGGTGTAACTCTTATACTGTCTGGTAACAGCCCAGAAAGCTCTTCCAACCCTAACCCTACCCCATTTAAGAAGATAATGAACAGTGTTGGAACAATAACACTGCCCTGGGGTACTCCAGACTGCACTTGAAGATATGAGGAAAATGAAGACCCAACTCTTGTTTGTTGTTAGCGATTGCTTAGATAGTCGCGTATCCAGGGAAGCACTCCTTGAGTCCTTGGACTCCAAATGCTGGTAGTTTGTGTAAGATTGCCTTGTGTGGAACCGATGTGAATGCATTACTTAGGTCCAGGAAGGCTGCAAGGCAGGTGTCCTTTTTTTCAGCAGCGTTTAACCAAGTGTGGTCGTCCAATGCCAGTTGGTCCAGTGTAGAATGTTTTGGCAGGAACCCAAATTGGTGCTTTGATATTAATCCATTGTCCAAGCAGAATGCCATTAGCTTGTCATTGATGATGCTCTCTAGGATTTTCACGATGCACGAGGTCAGAGATATTGGTCTGTAGCTGGACGGGCTTGATTTCTCGCCTTTATAATCTATAATATAAATCATATAGTGAAAAAAATACAAACAAAAAAAATTCAATAAACAAAAAACATAATACACCAACAATGTATAAACAATAAATGCATGGTATAAACTTGGCCATATAATTCTGACTGAAAAGGAGCGGCAAGAAGAAAACTTATTTAATGCCACCCCTTTATCCCCATTCAGTGATTAAATGATCAACTTCACTGTACGTTGTTCAAGCATTTTATCATGATGGTGTTACCACGGGCAACAAGGAAATGTACATTGCAACAACAAGTAATACCAACAATGGTTATGAACAAAAAAGAAAAGCAACAACAGCAAGATTTGATACACCAACCATGGTAGAGACATTGAGCACATGTTACACTATGAGACGGAGAAAATCAGATGAAATTAAAGACCCTCGTCTCTATATTGTGACCAGACCTTATGTTTATGGAACAGTTTAAATTGATGAATAGTTTTACATTGTTTGTGACGTGAGTCCAGTTTGTTCCAAAGTTTTACTCCACATACAGACAAATAAAAAACATTTACGAGTGGTTTTTGATCTCGGCAGTGAAAAATATCCAAAACCTCTCAAGTTATGAGCTCGCTCAGGAGTCGTAAAGAAACGCTGCAGATGTATTACATACATTCATCATGTGAAATCCCTTTACATTTGTCGTGGGTTACTTTAAAAATAAAAAAGGCAGGGGAAAAAATGGTTCCGGCAGTGCAGAGCATATGTGCAGTGATTTAAGCAGAAAAAAAAACAACAGGTTCAGACAGACACATACTGTAGGTCACCTTTAAGTAGTTACCTCCTCTGTAAGCAGCGGCAGACTGACAGTGTGCCAAACACGGCTCTTCTTTATAGTCCCCTTGCCCCTCCCCTATGAGCAAATTAAATGATTAGAAATGGGACGTATAAACACAGACCAAATATGGGCCCATTCCCTAATGGTCCAACACAGAAAACTATACTCTACAATAAAACATTAGGTCACTACATGTACATTTGATTATGCACATTAGGGGTGAGAACCTAAGGGCACCTGACGATACGATACGATACACGATACAAAGCTCACGATAATGATATTACGATAACGATTTTATCACGATATGACGATTATTGGTCAGAAATATACAATATGCCAATTTATGGCATAAATAAAAGAAAAAATACTCTTTATTTTATGATAGATAGAATGGAGATGCGTAATGTAGCCATATATTAAGTATTGATACCAATTCAAAAAAAAAAAATGCAAAAAAAACATTTTTTTTTTTTTTTTTCTAAATCGATATTGATACTTGGCAAATGCATATCAATAATCGAATCGCGGGAGAAAGTATCGCGATATATCTAAAAATCGATGTATCGTCACACCCCTACTGCACATCACATGAGCACAATTCCCCACGCTCCCAGGGCGCATTTAACCCACCAGGAAGTAGGGTGCTGGTTCGATCCTTCCGCACTGATCCAGAGGAGCTCGACAGACCGGTAGGTGGATGAATGTAGGTTTAAATGTATTTCCAGCCCGCACAAGTGTGCACCCCTGGGCGACTAGCAACTGAGGGGAGAGACGGACAAGAGTATGGATGATGCGTGTGGATGATACGTATGAAACGGGGGGAATGCCGATGTGTGTGTGTGGCGCAAACGGCATGAAAGTCAGCCTTTAGTATAAAACTCAATCCGCGTACGTAGCTAACGACGGACCCGCTCCGTCACATTTGTGCAACATAAACAAATTGGAACAGAAGGAAGACACAAAGCCTTATAAACCCTGTCCCTCGTTCTGCCGGCTGCAAAGACATTTTAACATTTTCACCGACAACATCCCCTGTCACATATCTGGCATTTTTCATTTCTGTTCAATAACAACAAACTTACTGCACACTAAACATGTTTTTGTTTTCGTCATATTCAGTGATCATTTTGTCCTTTGTCCTCGCTCTGAGTGTTCCATAATCACACGCCAAATACAGACACACACTTCTGTTTCATAGAAGTCCTTGCAAATGCTTTTACAGTTTCAAACCATATTTTCTCCTGTGGTTTGAGTCCTGCTCATGTCCAACAACACTGTCCTGAAACCCCCCTGGATTTGGGTAAAGTGTGGGCCCCCCTGATGTACGCAAATGTGTTGAAATAGTCCATTACAATAGAAATGTACAGATGCTAACATGGAACTACACATTACTTGCGCTAGAACACACATTCTAGAATACACAGTCACTTGTTCCCATTCCCTCCTCTAACAATATATATAGAATATGAAACTTGGGCGAAACCATTTGTTGTTGAGAATCTAGGTGGTCACCAAAATCCAGAGTGTACGTAAACTTTTGATTGTTGAGATTTGTGAAGTTGCCGTCATCCTTTTGCTGTGTGTATGAACGCCTTAAATGTGTTACCATTTCTCATCCTCTGAAAAAATGTCTACAAAAGCGTCTATTCTTCTCTCTAAACTTCTCGTCTGCGGAGACTGCTCCACAGCATGGAGTTACCTTGCTGTATATAGGTGTCAACTTCCATAAACTTTTGCTTTCACCGCAGTTTCAGATCCAAAACATCCCCCTGGATTTTTGGAACTGGCTTTACTCCCTCTCTCGCTCTAAAATATAAAATGGTGTCCCCTCTAGCTGTGTGAAAGATAGAAGCTGAATGAACATAATATCACATGATTTGGACCAACAAGAGTCAAGCGTAGAGAGAGAGAGGGTGAGTTTGAATCCCCGACAACACAACACGTAAACAGATGTAAACGGAGACGATGAAATCCATGAACTCTGTGGTCGAGAACACGTGTGGATAAAAGCGGGTGAGCAAATGTGGAAATGTGAGAGAACGAATCAAAACACAGCCACGAGCAGAAACTGTGCTTCTAATGGATGTTGAGTCGATCGCGGGTCAGTGTGTTTGAGATAAACTTTATTGATCTCACAATGAAGAAAGTTACAACGGTTTATGAACATGATTGGATAATCGCATTAAAGGCTACACAAAAACAAGCTAGCTAACATGGATTGTACTGTTTGTACAGAAAGTGATGGAAGGAATTTCCTGTCATCTAATGTCCTTCCCTCTCATTGTCTGCTCACTGACCCCCACTGATCCCCACTGACCCCCACTGACCCCCCTCTGACCAATCGAGGGTGACCTTAGCCGTGATGTCATCCTAGGTATATGTGAGGTGGGCTCTTGGTCTTGGGCTCTCTGTCTTGGGATTTGACCTAGCAACATGCTACAGCTAGGAAGCCTCTGCCTCTCTCAGGCGAACTCTGTGTGGAGCAAGAGACAAATGCAGGCTGTGGACATTCAATCTTAGACCTCCTGCTGCAGCCCGTCCATCCAGGACCACCAGTACCTATGTCCACCACCAGTACCTATGTCCACCACCAGTACCTATGTCCACCACCAGTACCTATGTCCACCACCAGTACCTAGGTCCACCACCAGTACCTATGTCCACCACCAGTACCTATGTCCACCACCAGTACCTAGGTCCACCACCAGTACCTATGTCCACCACCAGTACCTATGTCCACCACCAGTACCTATGTCCACCACCAGTACCTATGTCCACCACCAGTACCTATGTCCACCACCAGTACCTATGTCCACCACCAGTACCTATGTCCACCACCAGTACCTAGGTCCACCACCATGTCCCAGTACCTATGTCCACCACCAGTACCTATGTCCACCACCAGTACCTATGTCCACCACCAGTACCTATGTCCACCACCAGTACCTATGTCCACCACCATACCTAGTCCACCACCAGTACCTATGTCCACCACCAGTACCTATGTCCACCACCAGTACCTATGTCCACCACCAGTACCTATGTCCACCACCAGTACCTATGTCCACCACCAGTACCTATGCCACCACCAGTACCTATGTCCCACCAGTACCTATGTCCACCACCAGTACCTATGTCCACCACCAGTACCTATGTCCACCACCAGTACCTATGTCCACCACCAGTACCTATGTCCACCACCAGTACCTATGTCCACCACCAGTACCTATGTCCACCACCAGTACCTATGTCCACCACCAGTACCTATGTCCACCACCAGTACCTATGTCCACCACCAGTACCTATGTCCACCACCAGTACCTAGGTCCACCACCAGTACCTAGGTCCACCACCAGTACCTATGTCCACCACCAGTACCTATGTCCACCACCAGTACCTATGTCCACCACCAGTACCTAGGTCCACCACCAGTACCTAGGTCCACCACCAGTACCTAGTCCACCACCAGTACCTAGGTCCACCACCAGTACCTAGGTCCACCACCAGTACCTAGGTCCACCACCAGTACCTATGTCCACCACCAGTACCTAGTCCACCACCAGTACCTAGGTCCACCACCAGTACCTAGGTCCACCACCAGTACCTACCTAGGTCCACCACCAGTACCTAGGTCCACCACCAGTACCTATGTCCACCACCAGTACCTATGTCCACCACCAGTACCTATGTCCACCACCAGTACCTATGTCCACCACCACCAGTCCACCACCTAGGTCCACCACCAGTACCTATGTCCACCACCAGTACCTATGTCCACCACCAGTACCTATGTCCACCACCAGTACCTAGTCCACCACCAGTACCTATGTCCACCACCAGTACCTAGTCCACCACCAGTACCTATGTCCACCACCAGTACCTATGTCCACCACCAGTACCTATGTCCACCACCAGTACCTAGTCCACACCAGTACCTATGTCCACCACCAGTACCTATGTCCACCACCAGTACCTATGCCAGTACCTATGTCCACCACCAGTACCTATGTCACCCATACCGTCCACCACCAGTACCTATGTCCACCACCAGTACCTATGTCCACCACCAGTACCTATGTCCACCACCAGTACCTAGGTCCACCACCAGTACCTATGTCCACCACCAGTACCTATGTCCACCACCAGTACCTATGTCCACCACCAGTACCTAGGTCCACCACCAGTACCTATGTCCACCACCAGTACCTATGTCCACCACCAGCACCTATGTCCACCACCAGTACCTAGGTCCACCACCAGTACCTAGGTCCACCACCAGTACCTATGTCCACCACCAGTACCTATGTCCACCACCAGTACCTAGGTCCACCACCAGTACCTAGGTCCACCACCAGTACCTAGGTCCACCACCAGTATGGTCCACCACCAGTACCTATGTCCACCACCAGTACCTATGTCCACCACCAGTACCTATGTCCACCACCAGTACCTAGGTCCACCACCAGTACCTATGTCCACCACCAGTACCTAGGTCCACCACCAGTACCTAGGTCCACCACCAGTACCTAGGTCCACCACCAGTACCTATGTCCACCACCAGTACCTAGGTCCACCACCAGTACCTATGTCCACCACCAGTACCTAGGTCCACCACCAGTACCTAGGTCCACCACCAGTACCTAGGTCCACCACCAGTACCTATGTCCACCACCAGTACCTCGGTCCACCACCAGTATTGGTCCACCACCAGTACCTATGTCCACCACCAGTACCTATGTCCACCACCAGTACCTATGTCCACCACCAGTACCTATGTCCACCACCAGTACCTAGGTCCACCACCAGTACCTAGGTCCACCACCAGTACCTATAGTCCACCACCAGTACCTATGTCCACCACCAGTACCTATGTCCACCACCAGTACCTATGTCCACCACCAGTACCTATGTCCACCACCAGTACCTAGGTCCACCACCAGTACCTATGTCCACCACCAGTACCTATGTCCACCACCAGTACCTAGGTCCACCACCAGTACCTATGTCCACCACCAGTACCTATGTCCACCACCAGTACCTATGTCCACCACCAGTACCTGGGTCCACCACCAGTACCTATGTCCACCACCAGTACCTATGTCCACCACCAGTACCTAGGTCCACCACCAGTACCTAGGTCCACCACCAGTACCTATGTCCACCACCAGTACCTATGTCCACCACCAGTACCTAGGTCCACCACCAGTACCTATGTCCACCACCAGTACCTATGTCCACCACCAGTACCTATGTCCACCACCAGTACCTATGTCCACCACCAGTACCTAGGTTCACCACCAGTACCTAGGTCCACCACCAGTACCTAGGTCCACCACCAGTACCTAGGTCCACCACCAGTACCTATGTCCACCACCAGTACCTAGGTCCACCACCAGTACCTATGCCACCACCAGTACCTAGGTCCACCACCAGTACCTAGGTCCACCACCAGTACCTATGTCCACCACCAGTACCTAGGTCCACCACCAGTACCTATGTCCACCACCAGTACCTAGGTCCACCACCAGTACCTATGTCCACCACCAGTACCTATGTCCACCACCAGTACCTAGGTCCACCACCAGTACATATGTCCACCACCAGTACCTATGTCCACCACCAGTACCTATGTCCACCACCAGTACCTATGTCCACCACCAGTACCTAGGTCCACCACCAGTACCTATGTCCACCACCAGTACCTATGTCCACCACCAGTACCTAGGTCCACCACCAGTACCTATGTCCACCACCAGTACCTATGTCCACCACCAGTACCTCGGTCCACCACCAGTACTTATGTCCACCACCAGTACCTAGGTCCACCACCAGTACCTAGGTCCACCACCAGTACCTATGTCCACCACCAGTACCTCGGTCCACCACCAGTATTTTGGTCCACCACCAGTACCTATGTCCACCACCAGTACCTATGTCCACCACCAGTACCTAGGTCCACCACCAGTACCTATGTCCACCACCAGTACCTATGTCCACCACCAGTACCTAGGTCCACCACCAGTACCTATGTCCACCACCAGTACCTATGTCCACCACCAGTACCTATGTCCACCACCAGTACCTAGGTCCACCACCAGTACCTAGGTCCACCACCAGTACCTATGTCCACCACCAGTACCTCGGTCCACCACCAGTACCTAGGTCCACCACCAGTACCTATGTCCACCACCAGTAACTATGTCCACCACCAGTACCTAGGTCCACCACCAGTACCTAGGTCCACCACCAGCACCTATGTCCACCACCAGTACCTAGGTCACCACCAGTACCTATGTCCACCACCAGTACCTCGGTCCACCACCAGTACCTAGGTCCACCACCAGTACCTAGGTCCACCACCAGCACCTATGTCCACCACCAGTACCTAGGTTCACCACCAGTACCTAGGTCCACCACCAGTACCTAGGTCCACCACCAGTACCTAGGTCCACCACCAGTACCTAGGTCCACCACCAGTACCTATGCCCACCACCAGTACCTAGGTCCACCACCAGTACCTAGGTCCACCACCAGTACCTAGGTCCACCACCAGTACCTATTCCACCACCCAGTACCTATGTCCACCACCAGTACCTCGGTCCACCACCAGTATTTGGTCCACCACCAGTACCTATGTCCACCACCAGTACCTATGTCCACCACCAGTACCTATGTCCACCACCAGTACCTAGGTCCACCACCAGTACCTATGTCCACCACCAGTACCTATGTCCACCACCAGTACCTATGTCCACCATCAGTACCTAGGTCCACCACCAGTACCTAGGTCCACCACCAGTGCCTGTCCACACCAGTACCTATGTCCACCACCAGTAACTAGGTCCACACCAGTACCTAGGTCCACCACCAGTACCTATGTCCACCACCAGTACCTAGGTTCACCACCAGTACCTAGGTCCACCACCAGTACCTAGGTCCACCACCAGTACCTAGGTCCACCACCAGTACCTATGTCCACCACCAGTACCTAGGTCCACCACCAGTACCTATGCCCACCACCAGTACCTAGGTCCACCACCAGTACCTAGGTCCACCACCAGTACCTATGTCCACCACCAGTACCTAGGTCCACCACCAGTACCTATGTCCACCACCAGTACCTAGGTCCACCACCAGTACCTATGTCCACCACCAGTACCTATGTCCACCACCAGTACCTAGGTCCACCACCAGTACATATGTCCACCACCAGTACCTATGTCCACCACCAGTACCTATGTCCACCACCAGTACCTATGTCCACCACCAGTACCTTGGTCCACCACCAGTACCTATGTCCACCACCAGTACCTATGTCCACCACCAGTACCTAGGTCCACCACCAGTACCTATGTCCACCACCAGTACCTATGTCCACCACCAGTACCTCGGTCCACCACCAGTACTTATGTCCACCACCAGTACCTAGGTCCACCACCAGTACCTAGGTCCACCACCAGTACCTATGTCCACCACCAGTACCTCGGTCCACCACCAGTATTTTGGTCCACCACCAGTACCTATGTCCACCACCAGTACCTATGTCCACCACCAGTACCTAGGTCCACCACCAGTACCTATGTCCACCACCAGTACCTATGTCCACCACCAGTACCTAGGTCCACCACCAGTACCTATGTCCACCACCAGTACCTATGTCCACCACCAGTACCTATGTCCACCACCAGTACCTAGGTCCACCACCAGTACCTAGGTCCACCACCAGTACCTATGTCCACCACCAGTACCTCGGTCCACCACCAGTACCTAGGTCCACCACCAGTACCTATGTCCACCACCAGTAACTATGTCCACAACCAGTACCTAGGTCCACCACCAGTACCTAGGTCCACCACCAGCACCTATGTCCACCACCAGTACCTAGGTTCACCACCAGTACCTATGTCCACCACCAGTACCTCGGTCCACCACCAGTACCTAGGTCCACCACCAGTACCTAGGTCCACCACCAGCACCTATGTCCACCACCAGTACCTAGGTTCACCACCAGTACCTAGGTCCACCACCAGTACCTAGGTCCACCACCAGTACCTAGGTCCACCACCAGTACCTAGGTCCACCACCAGTACCTATGCCCACCACCAGTACCTAGGTCCACCACCAGTACCTAGGTCCACGACCAGTACCTAGGTCCACCACCAGTACCTATATCCACCACCAGTACCTATGTCCACCACCAGTACCTCGGTCCACCACCAGTATTTTGGTCCACCACCAGTACCTATGTCCACCACCAGTACCTATGTCCACCACCAGTACCTATGTCCACCACCAGTACCTAGGTCCACCACCAGTACCTATGTCCACCACCAGTACCTATGTCCACCACCAGTACCTATGTCCACCATCAGTACCTAGGTCCACCACCAGTACCTAGGTCCACCACCAGTGCCCATGTCCACCACCAGTACCTATGTCCACCACCAGTAACTAGGTCCACGACCAGTACCTAGGTCCACCACCAGTACCTAGGTCCACCACCAGTATAGGTCCACCACCAGTACCTATGTCCACCACCAGTACCTATGTCCACCACCAGTACCTAGGTCCACCACCAGTACCTATGTCCACCACCAGTACCTATGTCCACCACCAGTACCTATGTCCACCACCAGTACCTCGGTCCACCACCAGTACCTCGGTCCACCACCAGTACCTAGGTCCACCACCAGTACCTATGTCCACCACCAGTACCTATGTCCACCACCAGTACCTATGTCCACCACCAGTACCTAGGTCCACCACCAGTACCTAGGTCCACCACCAGTACCTAGGTCCACCACCAGTACCTATGTCCACCACCAGTACCTAGGTCCACCACCAGTACCTATGTCCACCACCAGTACCTCGGTCCACCACCAGTACCTCGGTCCACCGCCAGTACCTCGGTCCACCACCAGTACCTATGTCCACCACCAGTACCTATGTCCACCACCAGTACCTAGGTCCACCACCAGTACCTATGTCCACCACCAGTACCTCGGTCAACCACCAGTACCTCGGTCCACCACCAGTACCTAGGTCCACCACCAGTACCTATGTCCACCACCAGTACCTATGTCCACCACCAGTACCTATGTCCACCACCAGTACCTAGGTCCACCACCAGTACCTATGTCCACCACCAGTACCTAGGTCCACCACCAGTACCTATGTCCACCACCAGTACCTCGGTCCACCACCAGTACCTCGGTCCACCGCCAGTACCTCGGTCCACCACCAGTACCTATGTCCACCACCAGTACCTAGGCCCACGAGGATCTTAAGCACAAGCAGGGAGCTTCATGGACCAAGGGCCGCTACCGGGGCCTAGGGGCCAAACAATCAATGAATGACACATTCAAATGTATTTTGTGTCTTGAAGTCAGAAGTCAGCCAGACTGAAATGTATCAATAACATTTGTAAAGCACTTTGTATCCGTGGTCTGTGAGAGGTGCTATATAAATAAACATTACTTAGATAGAATTGGTATTTATATAAATATTCTGTAATGCTAAAAACTTCTAAGTTTTGGTTGTCCCTCCAAAACGTGTCCTGCAAGTCCATTTTTCATTCTTCCCTCCCTCTCCTTCTCTCTCCCTCTCTCTCCTTCTTTCACCTTCTCTCTCCTTCTCTCTCCTTCTCTCTCCCTCTCTCTCCCTCTATCTCCCTCTATCTCCCTCTCTCTCTCCTTCTCTCTCCCTCTCTCTCCTTCTCTCTCCCTCTCTCTCCTTCTCTCTCCTTCTCTCTCCTTCTCTCTCCCTCTCTCTCCTTCTCTCTCCCTCTCTCTCCTTCTCTCTCCCTCTCTCTCCTTCTCTCTCCTTCTCTCTCCCTCTCTCTCCCTCTCTCCTTCTCTCTCCCTCTCTCTCCTTCTCTCTCCCTCTCTCTCCTTCTCTCTCCCTCTCTCTCCTTCTCTCTCCCTCTCTCTCCTTTTCTCTCCCTCTCTCTCCTTCTCTCTCCCTCTCTCTCCTTCTCTCTCCTTCTCTCTCCCTTTCTCTCCTTCTCTCTCCTTCTCTCTCCCTCTCTCTCCTTCTCTCTCCTTCTCTCTGCCTCTATCTCCTTCTCTCTGCCTCTATCTCCCTCTCTCTGCCTCTCTCTCCTTCTCTCTCCTTCTCTCTCCCTCTCTCTCCTTCTCTCTCCTTTTCTCTGCCTCTATCTCCCTCTCTCTGCCTCTATCTCCCTCTCTCTGCCTCTCTCTCCTTCTCTCTCCTTCTCTCTCCCTCTCTCTCCTTCTCTCTCCCTCTCTCTGCCTCTATCTCCCTCTCTCTCCTTCTCTATACATTTGTATAGCTCTGAGCTGCGTCCCGGGTCTGTTATGGGAGGCCGGTTTGGGGACGGTCTGCCTCAGGTCAGTGATGAGGACAATAAGAAACTGGAGGCCCCACTGACTCTGGCTGAACTGGGCTCTGCGGTGGGGAGTCTAAAGCCAGGCAGAGTTCCGGGCATAGACGGACTTTCGGCCGATTTTTACAAGGCCTTCTGGGACGTCTTGGGGCCAGACCTTCTGGAGGTCTTTACGTACAGTCTGGAGAGCAGTCGTTTGCCCCTGAGCTGCAGAAGAGCAGTACTGACTTTGCTCCCAAAGAAGGGTGATCTGCAGCTCCTAAAGAACTGGAGGCCGGTGTCGCTGCTCTGCATGGACTACAAGATCCTGTCCAAGGTGTTGGCGTCCCGGCTGAGAGGGGTCATGGCCTCGGTCATCCACGTGGACCAGACGTACTGTGTGCCCAGCAGGCTCATAGGGGATAACATCACCCTGATCAGAGATGTTTTGGAGGTCTCCGGCTCATTGGGAATCAACCTGGGACTGATTTCCATAGACCAGGAAAAGGCGTTTGACCGGGTTGAACACCAGTACCTCTGGCAGACTATGACTGCCTTTGGGTTCAGCCCTGGGTTCATCGCCCACATCCGGACTCTGTATTGTGACGTCATGAGTGTACTGAAGGTGAATGGGGGGCTCAGTGCTCCGTTCAGTGTGGGGAGGGGCATCAGGCAGGGCTGCTCTCTGTCTGGGATGCTCTACTCCCTCTCCATCGAGCCCCTTCTACATCGGCTCAGAGCTGACCTGCAGGGGGTGCTGCTGCCTGGAGCACGACCATTTAAGGTCTCTGCGTACGCAGATGATCTTATTGTGTTCGTTAACAGCCAGAGGGATGTGGAGGTCCTGGCTGACACAGTGCAGGTTTTTGGTCAGGTCTCCAGCTCCAGGGTGAACTGGAGCAGGAGCTCTGCCACTCTGCTCGGGGAGGGTCTGAGGGGTCTCAGCCTGCCTGGGGGACTGGTGTGGAGGACGGGGGGCTTTAAACACCTGGGGGTGTTCGTCGGCCCTGGTCATGTCCGGAGGAACTGGGATCAGTCTCTGGAGCAAGTTAAAGGGTGGTTGAGTAAATGGAGGTGGCTGTTACCTAAAATGTCTTACAGAGGGAGGGTAATCGTTGCCAACAACCTGGTGTCCTCTGCTTTGTGGCACAAGCTGCAGAGCACAGACCCACCTCCCTCTTTACTCTCACAGATCCAGAGACTAATCACAGATTTCTTCTGGGACAAGCTGCACTGGGTCCCCCAGGCAGTGCTGTTTCTGCCGAAGGAGCAGGGAGGCCAAGGTCTGGTCCATCTGGCCAGCCGAGGAGCTGCTTTTAGGCTACAGTTTCTCCAGAGACTGGTAGCTGGGCCAGAGGAGCTGCTGTGGAGACCATTGGCAGTCTCCATCCTGCAGAGCGCGGGGGGATTGGGGCTCCCAGGGTTCCTTAGTGACCACACACCAGCTGGACTCCCGTCCTTCTACCGTGGGCTGTTCTCGGTGTGGAGCAGAGTGAAGAGGCAGAGGCAGAGCTCCTCTCTGCACTGGCTCCTACAGCGGCCCCTGGAGTTTCCTGCCTGGGCGGGGCCTGTGCTGCGGGGCCATTTCAGTTTGGGGGGGGTAGTCTCGGTGCAGCAGCTCCACAATGTCAGTGGTCCTCAGCTGGAGGACTGGGAGGCACTGGGAGTCCACCTGGGCCTGAGGCCGGGTCGGACCCTGGAGCGTCTCCTGTGTTTCTGGAGAGAGGGTCTGACAGAGGAGGACTGGACTCTGTTAGAGGGACACAGTTCAGGCTCACTGACCCCTGACCCCACTGACCCCTTCCCCAGTCTTATCCTCAGCCCGGACCTGGGCTCCTCCTCTGGGCCCCTGCTGGCCAGTCCAGTAGCTGCCTCTCTGGAGGCTGCTTCAGGGAAGACTTTTTACAGCCTCATGGTCCAGGCCTTGAACCACCAGAGACTGTGTGACCGAGCAGACACTGTGTGGAGGTCACACCTGGGCCCCGCCTTCAGCCCTGCCTGAGGGGCCCTGTACAAGCCCCCTCTGACCAAGAGACAGGGGGACCTGCAGTGGAGGCTGCTGCATGGGGCAATAGCAGTCAATGCCTTTGTGTGTAGGGTGAACAGGGCTGTGGGGGAGGGCTGTCCCTTCTGTGGGGAGAGGGAGACAGTGTTCACTGCTTCTGGGAGTGTGGGAGGCTCAGGCACATGCTGGAGCTGCTGAGGGGCCTCTTCACTTCACTGGGGGCAGAGTTTAATGCTCAGGTGTTTGTGGGGGGGGTCAGGTACTCCAACCGCAGCAGGAGGAGGGGGCGGCTGCTCAGTTTCCTGGTCGGTCAGGCCAAGATGGCCGTCTATGTGAGCAGGAGGAGGATGGTCCAGGACCAGAGTGAGATCAGTCCCAGGGCTCTGCTGGTCCGGATGGTCCAGGCCAGACTCAGGCTGGAGTTCGGTCTCTACAGGATAAATGGGGATCAGGAGGGGTTTGAGGAGCGCTGAGGGTTCAGGGAGGTGTCCTCTGTGAGGGAGGTGTGCTCTGTGAGGGAGGTGTGCTCTGTGAGGGAGGTGTGCTCTGTGAGGGAGGTGTCCTCTGTGAGGGAGGTGTGCTCTGTGAGGGAGGTGTGCTCTGTGAGGGAGGTGTGCTCTGTGAGGGAGGTGTCCTCTGTGAGGGAGGTGTGCTCTGTGAGGGAGGTGTCCTCTGTGAGGGAGGTGTGCTCTGTGAGGGAGGTGTCCTCTGTGAGGGAGGTGTGCTCTGTGAGGGAGGTGTCCTCTGTGAGGGACGGGGAGCTGTTTTTTTCTGCCTTTTTATTGTTGTAAACCTATGAATTGAAGTGTGTGTAATATATTGCATTGTTTATTTATTGCCAGTATTTGCACTTTTTGCACTTTTATGTCCGGATTTTTAAACTATGTTTTTTCTATACATTACAATGTGTAATATAATGGACAAATAAAGGTCTGTTAAAAATCAAATCTCCTTCTCTCTCCCTCTCTCTCCCTCTCTCTCTCCTCTCTCTCTCCTCTCTCTCCCTCTCTCTCCCTCTCTCTCTCTCTCTCTCTCCCTCTCTCTCTCCTCTCTCTCCCTCTCTCTCCCTCTCTCTCCCTCTCTCTCTCCTCTCTCTCTCCTCTCTCTCTCCCTCTCTCTCCCTCTCTCTCTCCCTCTCTCTCCCTCTCTCTCTCCCTCTCTCTCCCTCTCTCTCCCTCTCTCTCTCCTTCTCTCTCCCTCTCTCTCTCCTTCTCTCTCCCTCTCTCTCCCTCTCTCTCCCTCTCTCTCCCTCTCTCTCCCTCTCTCTCTCCCTCTCTCTCCCTCTCTCTCCCTCTCTCTCTCCTTCTCTCTCCCTCTCTCTCTCCTTCTCTCTCTCCTCTCTCTCCCTCTCTCTCCCTCTCTCTCTCCTTCTCTCTCCCTCTCTCTCCCTCTCTCTCTCCCTCTCTCTCTCCCTCTCTCTCTCCCTCTCTCTCTCCTCTCTCTCTCCCTCTCTCTCCCTCTCTCTCCTTCTCTCTCCCTCTCTCTCCTCCTTCTCTCTCCCTCTCTCTCCCTCTCTCTCTCCCTCTCTCTCCCTCTCTCTCCCTCTCTCTCCCTCTCTCTCTCCTCTCTCTCCCTCTCTCTCCCTCTCTCTCCCTCTCTCTCCCTCTCTCTCTCCCTCTCTCTCCTCTCTCTCTCCCTCTCTCTCTCCTCTCTCTCCCTCTCTCTCTCCTTCTCTCTCCCTCTCTCTCCCTCTCTCTCCCTCTCTCTCTCCCTCTCTCTCCCTCTCTCTCTCCCTCTCTCCCCTCTCTCTCTCCTCTCTCTCTCTCTCTCTCTCTCTCTCTCTCTCTCCTTCTCTCTCTCCTCTCTCTCCCTCTCTCTCCCTCTCTCTCTCTCTCCTCTCTCTCCCTCTCTCTCCCTCTCTCTCCCTCTCTCTCTCCTCTCTCTCTCCCTCTCTCTCCCTCTCTCTCTCCCCTCTCTCTCCCTCTCTCTCCCTCTCTCTCTCCTTCTCTCTCCCTCTCTCTCTCCTCTCTCTCCTCTCTCTCCCTCTCTCTCTCCTCTCTCTCTCCCTCTCTCTCCCTCTCTCTCTCCTTCTCTCTCCCTCTCTCTCTTCTTCTCTCTCCCTCTCTCTCCTCTCTCTCTCCTTCTCTCTCCCTCTCTCTCTCCTTCTCTCTCCCTCTCTCTCCCTCTCTCTCTCCCTCTCTCTCCCTCTCTCTCTCCCTCTCTCTCCCTCTCTCTCTCTCCTTCTCTCTCCCTCTCTCTCTCCTCTCTCTCCCTCTCTCTCTCCTTCTCTCTCCCTCTCTCTCTCCTTCTCTCTCCCGCTCTCTCTCCCTCTCTCTCCCTCTCTCTCCCTCTCTCTCTCCTTCTCTCTCCCTCTCTCTCTCCTTCTCTCTCCCTCTCTCTCCCTCTCTCTCTCCCTCTCTCTTCCTCTCTCTCCCTCTCTCTCTCCCTCTCCTTCTCTCTCCCTCTCTCTCCCTCTCTCTCCTTCTCTCTCCCTCTCTCTCCCTCTCTCTCTCCCTCTCTCTCCCTCTCTCTCCCTCTCTCTCTCCCTCTCTCTCCTTCTCTCTCCCTCTCTCTCTCCCTCTCTCTCCTTCTCTCTCCCTCTCTCTCCCTCGCTCTCCCTCTCTCTCTCCCTCTCTCTCCTTCTCTCTCCCTCTCTCTCTCCCTCTCTCTCCTCTCTCTCTCCCTCTCTTCTCCCTCCCTTTCTCTCCCTCTCTCTCCCTCTCTCTCCTTCTCTCTCCCTCTCTCCACTCTCTCTCCCTCTCTCTCCCTCTCTCTCCTTCTCTCTCCCTCTCTCTCCTTCTCTCTCCCTCTCTCTCCCTCTCTCTCCTTCTCTGACTTTTACCACTTTCCTCTCGACTCTCGCGCCCGAAAAGACAGATGTAGTTTCTCTGTGAAGCAAACATTGACGCAGAAACACTTTGATTCACTGCGATACAACGTGTGTAATAAAAACACCCAGTGGAGCGCGACAGGCCGCTCGGGCGACATGTGTCTCTGCCTCCCGCCTCCGACATGTGCACTCCCATCATGCACTGCTGCGGCGTCAGGGAGGTCGATGGAGGAGATGGCTGTAGCCGCAGAAAACACGGCCCCGGCTCCTCTTCGTCACGCGCCTCGGCTTCTTCCTCCTCCTCCTCCTCTTCAGTGTTATCATGAGCCCTGAGGCCTACTCACACTACACACACTACTCACACTACACACACTACTCACACTACACACACTACTCACACTACACACACTACTCACACTACTCACACACTCACACTACACACACTACTCACACTACACACACTACTCACACTACACACACTCACACTACACACACACTACTCACACTACACACACTAAACATTTGAGGACACTATCAGCGCTGCTGTTGGTGCTGGTGTTGGTGCTGGTGCGTTGGACAGAGCAGTGTGGACTGGTCCTACACTCTCAGCCTGGTACTGATGGTAAAGGCAGATGATTTTTGGACATTTGACTGTGTTTTACACAGAGACACTGCAGTCGTTGAGAATGGATCACGTTGTTTTGTTCATTTCAACTGAATCATGGTCAGTTTGATGCTTTCTCATCTTCCTTCCCATTCTGAAGTAAGATGGTTAAGCTGAGATTCTGTGTTTAAGTGCTTTTTTCTATCTACCTACTGTACCTTTGTTAAACTACCTACTGTACCTACTGTACCTTTGTTAAACTACCTACTGTTCCTTTGTTAAACTACCTACTGTACCTTTGTTAATCTACCTACTGTACCTTTGTTAAACTACCTACTGTACCTTTGTTAAACTACATACTGTACCTTTGTAAAACTACCTACTGTACCTTTGTTAAACTACATACTGTACCTTTGTTAAACTACCTACTGTACCTTTGTTAATCTTCATACTGTACCTTTGTTAAACTACCTACTGTTCCTTTGTTAAACTACCTACTGCACCTTTGTTAATCTACCTACTGTACTTTTGTACCTTTGTGAGCAAGTTTCCTCTGTACTGAGCCCTAATAAAACAAAACTGCACTCAAAGCTAACACACACATATTAATATAAATATTGTGAAATAACATTTACAATGTAATATTGTAAATACTTACATTATTTGCACTATGAATGACTCACTGTTACATTTGAGTTAGCAACAGATTTCATGCTGCAAAAACCAAATAGTCTTCCTGAAAATGTGAGACAGGCTTCTTAGAATTGTTGCAAAACACATATTTATTTATTTTGTTGCCTCAATATTACATTTTATTTACAGTGAAAATAAGGATCATGATCGCCACGGTAACCGAACCTCCAGCATTCCAGAACCAACGGAATGTAGCTGTCGTCATGGGAACATGACATAATGTTCCAAATGACGTCATCAAAGATCCAAAGTCAACAATGTGAATGTTTGAGAGTGGAGACAGTCCCAGACAAGAATTCATACGTTGGAGTAAAATAGAGAGTACGGACCGAGGATTTAACCGCGATAAACAGAACTGAGCAAAATGTCGTGCTTCAGAAGAAGATCCAAGAAGGACAAGCTAATAGAAAAGCTTGAACACTACGTGATGGAGTTGGAGGAACGACACCTGATTGTGGTTGAGGATCTGAAGAGGGAGAAACAACAGAAGGGCGAGCTGGAGAAGACTCAACAGGAAAAGAGTCGACTACAGCAGCAGCAAGTGAGTCAGCTCCAGTCTGCCTTAGAGACGGCTCTACGGCAGGCTTCAGAGAGCTCCACTACTGCCCAACGCCAACAGGAGAATACTGTTCAGGAGAAAACAGTTCTCCAAGAGACTCTGAGTGAAAGGACAGGACAACTACAGAAGGCCCACGAGGAGATTCAGGCTTTGAAAGACGCAAATGCAGAAAAAGCCAAGCGGTATATGTCAATCGTCACCGAGCACCAAGACGAGAAACAGGAGATTTTTGACAGAAACCAGGAGGCAATGGACTTGTTGAACGCTCAAATACTGGATGCCAACAGCACCATAGACAAGCTGAAGACCCAGATGCTGGAGCAAGAGACAAAACTGGGGACAGAAGCTGCTCAGTTAAAGACAATGCTGGCCAAGACCAAGAAACAGCTAGAGGACTACAGTGCAAATGTCGTCATGAAAAACTCTGTCATTGCTGCGATGGAGGCCGAAAACGCCAAAGTCAAAGCTGAGAATACAAAGCCTCAAACTATCAGTAAACTGATTGAAAACGAGAAGGAGAAGGTCAAGGAGCAGCTGGCCAAGACCCAGAAAAAGTTGGAGGAGTATAGCGCAGATTTCCTTGTGAAGAACTCTGTCATTGCTGCGATGGAGGCAGAAAACGCCAAAGTCCAAGCAGAGAACAGTGAGCTCAAGACAAGAATTTTCGATCTTGAAACTCAGCTGAAAAACATACATGCTGTGTCAGAGAAAAGACCTCTCGTGGCACGGAATAAGTCCATGAAGGACGTGGAAGAGGCTGTGAAGGAGGCCAGGAGGACCTCAGATCACACGATCCTAGAGCTGCAGAAAAAGATTGAATTTCAAGACAAGGCAATCAGCAAACTTAAAGAAAGCAAGCAAAAAGAGAAGGAGCAGCTGGCCAGAACCCAGAAAAGGTTGATAGAGTGTCGCACCAACTCCGACCAGAAAAGCACTTTTATTGCCCAGATGGAGGCGTACATCGCAGAACTCAAAGCTGAGAATAGACAGTTGTTGGGGCAAAGTGATGTCTGCGATGAAGAAGAGTATGAGGATTATGAGGAGTTTGAAGACGACCACGAGACCACAGAAGAGTGGGAGGAAGAATATACAGAGACAGAAAACAATTAAGCAAAGCCATATACGAGAACCAGAGCTGAAGAACATCCTTGGAATCATCTGAAGAGGAAAGACGAAAGAGAGAGTTTAGCATGAGAGATGAGAACAAATATTGGCAGCTGAAAAAACAGGCGGAAAACCCATGTAGGCTTATAAGTGACCTGGATGAATCAGCCGAGAAGCACATTCAGTTATTACACCATCAAATCTAGGAGGCAAAGATTAAATTCTGGATCAGCAGCTGAAAGATGTACACGCCTCTGAACAGGACAAAGACTTGCCCAGGTGTTAATAAGACGCCAAGAACCCAAACAAAATCCCCAAAAAGACAACATAGATTTAAGGTCACTTCCACTTCAACAAAGAGATTCAAAGATCTCAATATCACAGGGAGCAGCAAAATTTGGCCCACCTTCAAAATCGAGAATTACTAGTAAAACCGATAGATTCAGTGCATTTGCCTGTCATGATGCTAAAGCTAACAGCTAGCACAAATTGGGCCTGGTCTCCTCGTGTGAGGCCTGGGCACCGCTTTGATGGGAGACCTGATATTCCCACCAGAATGCTACAGTGGGGCGGCTGTAAACTCGTCGTTTTGTCCTTGGGCAAGGCACTTCACCCACTTTGCCTTGTGTGAATGTTGTGCGTGTGTGAATGGCAGGTGGTGGTAGGAGGGGCCTCTTTGGCAGCCTCACTTGCAGCAGATTGCCCCAGGGCAGCTGTGGCTAGTAGCTCACCACCACCGCGTATGGAGTGAATGATTAGTGAGGTAAGAGGTAGAAGTAGCACTTTGGTAAAGAAGTAGCACTTTGGTGAAGAAGTAGCACTTTGGTGTCATGACCGGCACTTTATAAATGCAACTGAATCGCTAACAATGGCTACAACATTAGTTTTCTTGCCATTGAAAGGATCTGGCTCCAGAGGCTTGAGTTTTATCTTTGGTCGCCGTTGATCTTGAGATGTTAAGACGAAACAGGAATAGACTTTAAACAGAAGTGGAAGTGGTCTTGAAAATGGTCTTCAATAGTCACCCCCCGCCCCCACCCCCTCAGCAATACAAGAAAACGAAATAAAAATTAATAATAACATCTAACGTGTGGTTTTTGGTATATTTGAAAGTCAACCAACACAAACTGAGTGTGTCTGGATAAAGAACCGATTGTGATGCAGTTTATTTGTGATTTAAAACCAAGAGACTCCATAGAAAGATTAAACTCTGGAAAATGTTGTGATGTCAAAGTGTAAAAAAAATCCTGTCTAAAGATAGAACATCTCCAAAGACAAAGTCAAGGTTGTTTTTGTAATTCTAACTTTGTTTCATCTGCTCATGTTTGATGTTATTAGATGATATGGGTGCTTCTGGGTGAAGGTAATTTCCCTTGTGGATGAATAAGGTTTGTCTAAGTGTAAGTTTGTGAGGTCTGCTCACACCAAGAACTCATTTGTGTTTTCTCAGAGCGACGTTGGTTTGATTCAAGGTAAATCTTTCACTCAAACAAAAGAAATATGCAGTCCTTTCTCACAAAGTAGTTTCTCAATGTAGCTCCTGTCCAGATCTAAAGTCTCTGGAAGCCTCTTCAGTCCTGGATCTACAGCCTCAGTCCTGGATCTACAGCCTCAGTCCTGGATCTACAGCCTCAGTCCTGGATCTACAGCCTCAGTCCTGGATCTACAGCCTCAGTCCTGGATCTACAGCTTCAGAGTCCTGGATCTACAGTCTCTGTCCTGGATCTACAGCCTCAGAGTCCTGGATCTACAGCCTCAGTCCTGGATCTACAGCCTCAGAGTCCTGGATCTACAGCCTCAATCATGGATCTACAGCCTCAGTCCTGGATCTACAGCCTCAGTCCTGGATCTACAGCCTGCTTTCGGGGTGACATTGAATGACATTTGTTATCCCCCTCCCTTTAGACCAATGTCTCCTCTGTGTGTAATGTTATTATTACAATTTCTGTGTTTTAATTTGATTCTCTGATCTGTTCATAGGCAAAACATGAAATGACAAAGTAAACAGTGACGTTGTCACTTTTAACCATCAAAACCAATGCCTACTTTTTCTTATTTAAATCTCTGAGCGGAATAGCACATTGAACATGTTTTTAGCCATTTCCCGTGAGTCTCTCTTGTTTACAGCCAAAGAGAAATAGAGAGAGATAGAGAGAGTCACCTTGCTGAGTTCTGGGGGACGTGGGGGCCTCCTGTGTCCTCGCTCGCGGTGCTAGCGCTTTTTACGTGGGCGACATGTGTTGAGGAGGTAATTAAAGAGCAGATTAGAGGGATATGGAAGCCGGCTGTGGAGAGGCAGGTCCAGATCCCGCTCGCAGGTAATGAGCAATAAACAACAGGATTTAAGGATTGCAAAGTTAATCAAGGTTAAAGCTGCCACTCCGTCAGACCTGCTTTTACGGATTTGAGACGAAATTAGAAATCAGGTGTTAATGCTTTGTTGTGGAAATCTCCTTAGCCATAATCAGAATGTTCGTATTGTTCTCGCGACACTGTGAGCAGGTCTTGGTAATTAGCCTCGACGAGCTTAAAGAGACCTTAAGTGATCGGCACAAGAAGTGGTTTGATAAAGTTATTAAAATTACACTCACTCGTTTGTTGCCAGAACCTTCCCGCCGTGATAATTGTGTAGCTAAGCACTGATTACTGATGCCAACCAACTGCTGGGGTTTAGCTAAGAACAGTACATGTGTGCATCCTTCATAAGGTAGAAAAGGGCAAGATTCAACAAAAGTTTAGTTCCTTCAGCCAGAGCCGCTCTTGACAAAGTGTTGTGTTGTCCATGTTCTTATGTTGCATGTGTTTATTGATGTGTTTTTGTGTATCCATTCTATGTGCCAGTGTCAGGGACAGTGGAGATTAATTTCTCTCAGAGGACAATCAAGATCTATCTACCTACCTATATTACCTACCTACCAACCTACCTGAATACCTACATACCTCTATCTACTTATCTCTATGTACCTACCTACCTACATGTTTACCTACCGACCTACCTATCTACCTAACTACCTACCTCTATCTACCTGATTACCTACCTAACTGTCTACTTACCTCTATCTACCTACTTAACTCTATCTATCTACCTACCTAA